TCATCGTTCGGTTTTTAAATCTCAAATAGGTACGTTACGCACTCTCAATGATTGTACGATGTACCTACAACCTACCTACATTTACTTTTCACGCAGTTTGAACGTGTTCATTTATATTCGTTTTCCACTATAATAGCTAGTTTAATTTATTAATCATTATTATAAATTTTGATTCATAAACATTTGTATTTTCTGACACATATTTTTATTTTTTTCATAATTTATTATTCTAATAGCTTTTAGACTCTGTTTTGTAGATTGTATATGTAGGTAAACAAGAAGCAAAATATAAACTTACCTAACTGACCAGTGGTGGTTCGAAAGGAGTATAATATATAAATCTTCTGAACCCTAATAGTTGTTATTTCAATATATCTGCATAGTAAAAATAATAATAATCGTTGACAATTGGTTGAGTATGGAAATAAACGGTATAGTTATAGATGACTGTTGTAGACTTCACTGAATAAAATATAATAATAGGTGATTAGTGAACAAATAAAGATTAACATAAATTAGGCTACACTACATGAATTAAGAAGTCATTATGTAAATGAAAAATAACTTATCTTCGGTAAATTACATTACTGAAATATTATTTTGTACCTACGTCTTATTCAGTATTATAATGTCGTGTGTCTTATAATGTATACAAATGTATACAAATGTCCCATGAACTTATAAATAAATAAAATTATATTAAAAAAATTAAAGTATAAAATCTCATTTGGAAACCAAATACCGTTCAGTTATCATATTTACTGTATTTTTTAATATATTAACAATACTGTTTCAATGTTCAAGCACCTCTAACAACATAAAGTGGGGGTACCTACTTAGTATTTATATTTGTTGAGACTAACGATGAGTTACAAATAATACAACTGATTTAAAAAATGAGAAACAGTAGTTTAGTTTTAATCATACCTTCTACAATTACATAATATTATGATATTATAAATTAATTATCTTATAATTTAAAATTTTAAATGGCCTGCAAAATCATACAAAAATATGATGATTTCTCCTTTTGTAGGCCCGTTCTACAAAGAAACCCTTTGTTACATTGTGGCATTAATTATTACGAGTTTTGGTTTTGCAAAACAGTTTACAAATTTTCATTGAAAATTGAAAAAAAAAATTTCTGGTGTGTGGTATTATAACAAATAACAATGGGAGAGTCTATGGCACTCAATGCAAAAACACTTTGACCCATTAGTGACTTTAACCAACTCCATTTAAAGCTTATAGAACTGCAAAACTTAAAGACCCGGACATCCCATATTATAGAAACTGTACTTACGTTTTCCGAATAATAACTGGGTCGTACGCGTGTCCGTTGAAAACTTTCGTTAACAAACAAATTCTAGTTGTTAATGTGTACTTATAAAATAGCTAAACACAAAACAGACGTGCAACTATTACACAGATTAACGAGTACAGAAATACAAAATAACTTCATATTCAGATCACCAAATATTCGAATACCTTTTGGTATTAATATTTTATTTTTTTTATGTGCATACACAATTTAGACAGAGTGCGTCGACTGCAATTTGTGATGAACTTACTATTGTATTAAATAAAATATATGCTCCAGCAATGTATATAAACTTAAAATAATCGTAATTAATGAAAATAAACTTTAAAGTTGGCGCAACATTGTTATTATAAACTCAAATACGGTTTTCGATTTTACTTATTGATATTTTCCTACACCAAAATTAAAAAATAATATATGCTTATTCTGCCCTGCGCCATACGAGATTAAAATTATTAAAAAAACATTATCTCACTTCGAAAAAATAATAGCGATAAAATAGATGTTCATTTTAGATTCTGAGCGGAGTGGGGAAGCTAGTGGTTTTACAATGGTGTTTATTTTTTTTATATATCCTGTATACAAAATTTCTACCAGAAGAAGTGCCTCGATTTCAACATAATATAGTACCTTATCTTTTAGCGAATTGGATTAAGATGGTACTTTAGAGAGGTCATTTTTCGATTTTGTCAATGGATATTAAATGCCACGGGAAAAACTACTGACAAATTACTAAAAACCTCTTAAAATGGGATTTTAATTTATAACTATATGTGTATCACCGTAGCAACGAACAAAAAATTATAATATTATAATATTAATTCAACTTACTTAAATGCTATAGTAAATAATAAAAATTTAAAAATCCAGACTGATAAACCGTCTCCGCTTAGAATCGTTTTTCTTATACAATGATATTATATCATTGAATTCAAGTTTAATATAATCCATTATACATTGACCTACTTGTAACCTAATGTACAGCAGAGCGACATCCACTTACCCACTTTTTTTTTTATTAATTAAAGTAACGTAGTTAAACATTTTTGAAACTATGAAGAACATTATAATTTATAACACATAATATATTATATAACATTGTATTCGAGCATTTTTTTTAAAAACTCATAAACATTAATCAAATACTTTAATTGGATTAATCTACGTGGGGGGGGGGGGTTTAAATTCTTATAGTAAATATTCACTATACTAATTTTATTTTCTACTTTATATTTACCTTCGTTATATTGTGCACGTTTTTTTTTAGTGACTATAATACCTCTAGTGACGGCCTCTGCCGTGCCTACGTAATATTATATTAACTTAACATATCTCAATGTAGAAAGCTTAATGAGAAAAAATAATTTTTATATAGATTGAAATTATATAAATCCGATTTGTTATATTCTTTAAAATATAATGTATTATTTAAATACATCTTAGAAATAAGAATAAAATAGGAACAGTTAGGTAACTATAAACACTGTAAAAGACATTCTTATTTTAAGTTTTTATTTTTGAAAAATGCATACGTTTTTAAATACATCGAACATTTAGTTTACCTACTTCTCAGTGTTCCATATATCAATATTATTATCGATAGGGTATCACTTGTTAATTAGTATGACAAAAATAATGAAGTCAATATCGTATAACAACTGTTCTTGCCTCCTTCAAAAAACACGATATTTAATATTTTTATAATATTTCAATTATTAAATTATTAATACGTAACTGAGATAATCAAACGCATCTCCTCTAAAAATAAATAATAATTTCTTTGATGAGTAGATGTGAGAGTGATTGGAGGAGGGGGGGCGTGAAAACGTTCGAGATGATAATGATAACGAATTTGTGTAGCTATTGTACATATAGCTATTGACCGACGTGCCGGGACGTAGGTATGTGTGAATTATTAAATATAATTTACAAGAATTCGATTAGGTACAACTGAACAAATATTAAATTAATAAGCGTCAGAGCTACGATATAGTATAATATTCATACGTGTATAAATAATAAATTTTTCTTAGAAACAAGCCTTAAAACCAACCCAACGAAATTCAAAAGTAAATACCTCGCATTGCGAACTGCGAGTATTAATGTATTATTGGTGTTCTAAATTAGAAAACCGCCGAAACGACTACGAACGGAAATTAAACAGGGCTTAAATTTACACAAAATGGCAAAAGGAACAACTGTGATTTCTATTTTATTTTAAAAACCCTTTCCGTGTGAAGTATTGTTCCGTACCATTATGTTATTATTTAAGGAATGGGTTATTCATTAATTAACTTTCCTCGCTTAGCTAGAAAACTAAAATGATTTCTATAATATAAAAAATTTATTTATATATTACAAATTATCAATTTACCTAATTATTGATTATATTACTTTCCATAGTACTTCATTGCACTAAACAGCTTACTATTAACTTATAATCTAAAATACTATTTTACGGAGTGTTGCTCAACAGCTATAATCATTTATATCAATATTTGTTTTTTTTCCAAATTAAAACAAAAAAAAAATAATAAATAATAAATACCCACTGATTAATCTAAAATTATAAGATATAGAAGATAAATAATTACATATTTTGAACGGAGGACAAATTACTCTGATTTGACTTTAAGACCTCGGTGTACCAGCGTATAGCTTTTGATGATTAAGTTGAAGGGGACGCCTTTTAAACGTTGTCAGAGGCAGGGGGACATGGTCCCTTAGCGTCACCGCCCACACTTTAACCCCTACCAACGATCTGAGTTGGTATAATATGGTTGCCCATTGACCTACGGTGAGATCGTTGTAAATTGCAGGCAGTCAAAATAAATCACCATAACAACAACTGGATAAATCCTTGATTACTAAAGCACTTATGATAATGTGCTAGAGCACGATTTAAGCAATTTAAGATTCCCAAGAGATAAAGTAAATAATACTTTTCGTAACAAACATCTGCAGCTTAGTAAAATCACATGTAGAGCGAAAAGTCGACATTTTCGATTCCGTAAGATCACTGAGATGGATAAGAATATAGATAAGTATTTCCTTATCCTATATCCATGGGTCAAATAGTCATCAAACAAACTATTATGTTGTTTGAATATTTTTAATAAATGTAACTATTTAAACTATTGAATTAATAAATATATGGTCAATTTAATAAACTATTTTGGTGAGATTTTTTCCTAAATTCATAAAATACAATTATTAAACTGATAATAACATATTATTTAATTCAATCATTTTATCTATTGACCGTATTTTAATAAATGTATTGTCGAATCAAACCATAGTTTTTTTTTTGATTTTACCCAATTTTTTAATTCAGTGATATAATATTATAAGTATCTTAAATCATGCGTACACCCGGTGATAATTATACACACTGGTGGTCACCAGCTCAAACCATTCCATAGAACTCATAAATATCAATAAATTTAAGTTGACAGTTGCATGTTGTGTGTGTGCATCTCTATGTAGTATTTGCAAGAATGTTGTTACTGCACTACTCAACCAATATACAAATAAATTTAAATATGTATATACTTTCAAACTGTGCTCATAGCCTATATAATAGTATGTAATTATTTTGATAAATACTTTTGAGTTTAGATATTGAAAATACGAATGACTGGCGACTGATAATCGTTAATAATAAATTAGGGCTTATGCAATGATAGAAACGAGTGCAATTCGACCTTACTCGTGGTCACCTTTACAACGCACTAAATCGATGAACTCACATCATTATTATCGGGACGACAAAAATAATGAATATTATTATCATGTTATTGTTTTGACGGTGTTTCCGCAGCCACTGTTCGTCGCTGCCGTCATGCCTCGTCTGTACGCCGAACGAGGGGTGTCTGGTCACCCGGCGCTGAAGCTTGTCGACGCGCAGGACCCCTATTGCCGGTGGACGGTCGCCTACTGGCGTACGACGATGCGCGAGGAAGCCGAAGGACTTCCGGTTCCGGTGAGAAAAACAACACCTTTTAAAAATACAAAATACACGACCTTTCTATACCCTCACATATCCCTTTATTTTCCACTCTTTTCTACTCGCGTCTATAGACCACCCAACTATATAGTGTTGTAAACAATAACCCAACATTTATCTAGATAAGATAATATTATAATTATTAAAATTTTTATTTAAAGATAATAATAGATATATGTGATACCAAATAATTTATCTAGATAAAAAAATATGCAATATTTATAGAGAAAAAATAAAGTAAAATTAACTGGAAAACTCTAATAGTTATAGTTGTTACAACGAAACATTAACTAGTTTAATCACCAAACTAATTAGATATATAAGCTACAACAAGTTAAAAAGTTATAAACAAATTAATTTTTTAACAAGTTCATGCACACATTTGATCAATATTATTACTATGATTTATTGCCGTATCCATTCTTAAATATATATATGACAGCGGAAAGGAGGTCGTTTAAAAGAGAGAAAAACATAAACAACATAAATATAATATTATACAGCCGGTTTCACCGTTATCCACGGGGCTGCTCCTCCAAAGTCGGACGTTAAATCCAAAACTGCGACGGGTTGTGTGCGTGTGTTTGTGACCGGAACAGCAAAGCGGAAAGGATGCGCGTGGGAATACGTACACACAAACATGCACACACACAGACACCACACAATAATATAATAATGCGATTGTTTCCTCCGACGTAATTACTACATATATATATAGCACGTTTGTCCTTGAGAGATTTCGACGCGCGCTACCCACCGCACGCTGCGAGAGAAACGAGTAAACTCGTAAACGCGCGGACGAGTCGCAGTCGACGACAAGACCAGTTGTGTTCGTGTTTCTCGACTCTCGAGTAGGTATTATACCTGCCTATATAGCGTACGACTCCGCAGCAGCGTTTTGACGACGTTTTATTATATTATATTGTGTGTTGTTTGTTGTAAGTCCGAGCAATCATTATTAATTGTTTACGTTTATAATTTCCACACGCAAACCGTGGATGAATCGAAAACTCGCTAAAACCAAAAAATACGACATTTCCTGACCAGGGATTAACTTTTTTTTTTACCCTTGTGTAACCGTTGCAGAACGGAGCCAGAGTGGTCCTGAAGCACAACGCGACGAATCTGAACGCCGCGGTGGAGACGGACTTTCGAATTGCGACGTTCTTCGGCGACGTAAGTTTATATATTTTTCATTAATTTATGTAAATCAACGTAATATTATCGGACCATGTCCGCGTCACTTGGTCAGTACAGTGGATTCCGATTAATGTAGATATGTGCAGCACCAAACTCATTTGCCCACGTAAAGCGGTTGGTCATATAAACCGAAATCAATTAGTATGCATTGGAATTGGGACCATATTACGTGGATGCCCATATATTAACAGGTGTCCATATTAGGTTGAATCTACTGTATTATCGTGGTCCATATGGCCCCCTAACCACACAAGTCTTCTCAATGGGGCCCAGTATTCATATAATTATATATATATATATATGTAGGTATATGAAATGAAATAAAATAAATATTTAAAAGGCAATCGTTAGGTCAAACGCTAATAATAGTAATAATTTGTTGTTACGTCTTATTGATCTTGTAGTAAATAGAATATTTAAATATTTAATATAATATTTGTTGCTGCAGGCGTATTATGTACTATCTCCGACACTAATTTAACTTCTTGTGATTATATTATTGACCACGACCGGCAAAGTTTTTTTAATTGTTTTTCGTGTGCGACAATCTCGTTTCGACCAACTACGATTGTTTTCTTATGCGTTAGCTCGTAAAATGTATACGTAACGTGTAACAATATTCCTATAGTGTTTCGGACGAGTGATAAAAGACAATCGTATACCGTGGGATAAAATAGTATAAAATAATATAATAACAATAATATATACGACGTATGTACACTGCACAGTCAGTTAGCGTTGATCCCCGTTAAAGTCTCTAGCGTCGAGGTCAGCGCAAAGTTTATTATTATTATTGTAATATTAACATCATACGTGGAGAGTCCATTACAAAAACGACGACTATTGCATTATTATTACTCGAGTTATTTATTATTATTATTATCATTATTATTATTGATACCTCGAAAACGCAACGGCGACTGCGCTCGTTCCGATTGATATTACACGCATTTAATGCGGCAGCTGCACGCGTGCGTTCTAAATCTATCATTAACGGAACTAGTTTCTATATTATACGCTACTCGTCCAGACTAGTAATAATTATATTTATATATTTATTTAATGTACCTGTACACCAGCTGTAAGTACTTGTATTATACCCCGAGTATACCGGACGGTACCCTCGCTAAGGTCATTGGTACACGCCAGTCCACCGCAAAATCTCGTCTGCATAATATTATAATTATTATCGCGTTCGCAGTAAAATCTGGTGAAACTTTATCTCATCATTAATTAAATACCAATATAATATTTAAAGGTGCGGGCTTGTTCTAGCCACGTCCGCGGTTGGTTCGTGCATTCGAACAAAATATATTTACGAAATTAAAATAGTTTTTTGAGGATTTAACAGCGTATAACCTGCACGACCAACATCAAATTCAAAATAAATAACGTATGCTATAATGTAATGTTATTATTAGTTTCAATGGCACCGCGCGTAACACTACATTAACTACAGATAAAAAGTTGAGTGGAACTTTTTTAATCACTCCGACAGTTAAAGTTTATATAAATATTTTGCTTACATCGATCGAATATCAAGCCAACAACGTGTATACCAGTTGATTCATGTAACACGTAAAATACTCATTATTTTAAATATTATTTTTACATAATATTAGGCTGTTGCAAAATAACATTTTTAAAAGAAAATTATATAATTTGCTATCATTATTATTTCTTAAGTTTTTACTTTATTCAGTGAAAACATACATATTTATTTCAAATCAAAGTAGTTTGACTTATGAAAATCGAATTTCGGCCGAATAGTTAAATACTTGTAAAGTATTCATCAAAATTTGATTTTTATATTTCATTGAAATACTCCGGTAATTATAATACTCTGCGTCAGAGTAAGAAATTAAAAAAATTAAAAATGCATAGACAATTTTAACTACAAAAATATATATTTTTTCTAAATTGCTGTTTGCATTGACTTAAAATTATGCAAAATAGTCTAAAGTATTTTAAATAATAAGTGTTTTCAATAATATAATTACTAAATATTGAACCTACTGAATATAGTCTGCATAAAACCTCTCGACTTGATATTTTTCAAACGAATTCTATATCATTTAAAAAATATGTAGATCAACGTTATTATAATTTATTATTGTTAATTATCTTTCAAACAAACGGTTGGGCAGCACTATATTATAGTATAATATGTTTATATTGTACCTATGTTATAATATTATATTATGTTTACCGACGACAATCGAGATGGAAGAAAAACGTTGAGCTATATTGTTTACCTATACCACAAATGCTCAAAATAACATCATAATTTCGTTCATCATTGCATTTCTCCATAGTGCATAATACTTGATAATAATAATTTTGTTATTATAAAACATAAAATCCTCGTCTACGTACATTTTTTTTTTTACAGAGAATATTGTTATATTGTTTTGCTTACCTGGTTACCTACTGGTCCGGGGCAACAAAAATGTAACACAAACCGCTACTCGGTTAGAGTATAAATTGGCATTGCGCTCAATATAATTATTATAATAGGTACGTAACGACTTCTGATGAGATAAAAACAGATGTTTAAAGTGCTCACAATTATTATTATATGCCATAATGCGATACTGTCATTACGAATTCGGAGCGATTTGTGAAGGAAATCTGTTGTAGGTTGGATCGCGGACGGGAACGACGACGACGTGAATTATATTATACTTATGTTATTATTGTACGATTTGTACTTCACAATAATACTATATAATAATATAATATACATGACTCGAGTACGTCATTAAAGTTAACTAATTTTTGTCGTTTCAAAATATATTGTAAATTTTACAAGATGATTCAGTGTCCTTTAATTTGTTCAAATTCTTATTTTTGAAAATTTTCAATATACCTACCATGAAATCATATTTTCAATTATTTAATTTCTAGTATACTGTTATCTTAAATAAGTTTTATTTTTTGAAAATGTTATTGAATGTAAATCAATATTTTAACTGGTATTTTCTGAGTTATTAAAACGTGATAGGATAATAGTAGGTAATTAAAAACGGTTTCACAAAACCATAAATTATAGATGTGGTATTGAATTTAATATTTGTTATACTCTGACAATTTTTACAAACCATACAATTTAGATAAACCAATATAAATTCAAATAATCCCCCCAGCCCCCACCTAACTTCCAATCCTATTATTATGGCTATCATTCTCAGTGCACCAAGTTTAATAACTTCGAACCAACCTACTCGTTTGAATTTCTATTTACATAAATTCAAATTTTTTAAACAAAGTCATCTGACTAACGATTTATAGAAAAACAGGGGTTTCTACCGTTTGAAAAAAAGTTGTTTAGGCACACCTTAAAATTTAAACGGTATAAAAATCTAAACAATTGAAAATATGGACCTTAAGTGTATACTTGAAAATTCCAAAATCAGGATTCGAATAAATCTATTATAATATAGGAAAAAATGGGGGTGAGCATGATTGGTGAATGACCCTGTATAGAAACACGCACTCTGAGTGTTGGTGATTTTTATTTTATTTTCCGAGTATGAGTTTTTTTTTTAATGAGCACAAATTACGTTCATCGTGTGCGAGAGACGTTTTGCGCGCTGCAGCTATAATATAATGTAAGTAATAATTATTAATACCAAGGGGGAACGGCCTCAGAATTTATTCTCTCAGAGTGATGAGTGAATTTGTCGGGTGTAGTTGAGTGGTATATGTATATCGGTGGCCACCACTGCAGGGAGTGGTGATCGGAGTGATTACAATTTTTTTATCCTCGAAAACCTGACGCCGAGAAATTATAAAAAACAATTAACCGCGGCTGGCGGCAATATAATATTATGTACAAAAACGTCGAATAGTAATACCTGGGTATACGTCATATTATATTAAAGTGTTATACCTATATAGATGCGTTAATTATTTTATGCGTTTTTACAGGTGTAACAGAAAGGACTGCATACAAATGTAATTAACAAACTACATACATGTATATTATATGTACATTATGTAATCACTTTTGTTCTAATAATCGATATTTAAATTTGTTTTATTTTCTTTTGTTCAATCATTAATCGTTCTGGTAAAATAAAAAACGTTCGAACGCCTCTGGTCACAGCCAAAGTCACTAATCGTTACACAATTATTTAATAAATTATGCATGTGTATGCAGTTCTGTGCAAATTTTAGTGATTTAATATGCGAAAACGATTGATACAGCTGACACTGCTATAATATATATTTTGAATACGCATAAATAATACATACAAAAGGCTAATATTATTTGATTGGTATACAATTTTACTGAAGACTTGAGTTGAATTTTGGTACAGACTGGCAATAATAATTTCTGCACTTAACTGACCATGATTCGATTAGGAGTGCCAAAATACAAAACTCCGTTATATAACAAACCGTAGTAATAAAAATGATCAAAATATTTTAAGAAACCGTTTTTACGTAAGTACCTGTAAGTTCTTCAGTAGGTACCTACGTGGTATCAACGGCTGTTTTTTTAGCTGATTTACATTAAGAACCGACATAAGTTAAGAATATCGTAGGTAATATAAATCAGGTCGTTTTAAGATTTCCAGAATATAACATTTTTTAATGTGTGACGTTATAACGGATTTGCATCTCTCTGATGAAATAATAAAACTAATAGGCAATGATTTTTCTGTGCCTGAATTTATCATGCGAATTAAATTATTTTGGAAAAAAAATAGACTGATTTCACACGCGTGGACAACGGCCATAATAATGTTAAACGTACAGACATAATATTATTTGGGCGGGTCACTGTGGGTGTATATTATAATGTACAGATAATAATGTGCTATCATATAATATTTTATGGGAAACGTAACAGCAAGCGTTCATAATATAGGTGCTCATTGTAATTAATAGTAATTTATTAGTAATTACTAATTTAGGTATATTATAGAATCCGATCAGTGAGTTATGGTCAACCGATCAGTGAGTAGCAA